TTTTTTTTGTTTTTTTTTTTTTGGTTTTGTTTTTCTTCCACTTCTGGGGTCTTATAACTCTCTGTGCATATGGTCCATTATTGTCTTGCGGTTTTGGGGAGAGTTCATGTTTTGTTATTGGGTGGTGCTGGATGTGTGAGTGCAGCACGAGGCAATGTTAATTGCAGAGCTGCGTTACAAGAGCTATCCAGGCCCCACCAGTGCTCCTTCGTATACTCACTGAGTTATTGCTGCTGGCATTGAGGCAGCAGCTAGGGGCCTTCCAGCAAACAGCGACGCAATCACTTCATTTGTGCTATAGCACAGGGCAAGATTGTTTCTAACAGCAGTGCTAATCGAATGTAGCTAATTGAATTCCTGAAAATGCTGCTGTGCTGGGCTTCTTCCAACCTGCTGCCATTCCAAGCAGGAAACAAGTTGGTTGATGATGGGGATCCTGGCAGGGAAAAAGCAGTGCTTGGCCAGGGCTTGGGTCTGTCCAGCACCATGATTCAGCACTGAAGCAAAAATGAGGGGAGTGCAAGAGGGTACCAGATGTGTTTGCTACTCATCTACTTGGTCTTTAAGGTGACAAAGCAGAGTAGATGTGTCTGTGCCTGAAGGACCTGTGTGTTACCAGAGGGTGATATTACTGAAAAGGCTGGAATCGCCACGTTCTTGTGGGCTTCTCAAAAACAGTCCTCAGAAAACATCATTTTGATAACATTTTCTACAACGAAAGAGTCCAAAGAACTTTGTTACCAATAACAAACAACTCTTGGAAAAGCTTGATTAGAAACTTAGCATAAATCTAATTCAGACTGTGCTATTAGCAGCCTTAAACTTAGTAAGCTAAGTCCAGAACGATCTTTGAATTTTTTAGAAACACATATCAATAATCCTTAATTCCTCCATCTCAGCCAGAGGATTATCATTTAGCAAATTATCACTTGTGGTGAGGATTGTCTTTTCTGCTGTGGGCTCTTTGCTTTTTACGAGCATAACATGGCAGCAAAATGCATCTTTACTCCCCTTTTCACCCTGCACCACTTCACCAACCGTTGTCCTAGGAAATTACTCAACACAGGTTT